TCCAGTGACACCGTGCTCCAGGCCCTTGAGTGGGACCAGGATGGGAAACGACTAGTGGGTCGTCTAAGAGTGACATTTGGAAGATTGTGTGAAGACAAGGTGAAAGACTATGGGCAATCCTAGACCCAGCTGAAGAGGACGGCTGAAAATAAAAGAAAGTGGAGATGTGTTGTTGAAGCCCTATGTTCCACTTGGAACCCTGAAGAACAATAGCAGAAATGGTAATAAAAGAAACATATTCCAAAAACAATGAATTCCTGTGTTGTGTTTCTCATCTCATCTTTAAAATTTCTAGTGGAACATAGGGCTTCAAACTTTAAACTTTACAGTTTCAGAAGAGCTAGTGTTGTTTTTATGGGATGGGGTTTCTAGCCACACGTCCCACCCTTTCTCTTATCCAGGCTTACTATCAATAAGGTGAGGTTTAGCATGGCTGGAAGTCGAACCTCAAACACGCTCTGAACTACTGACACACTATAAAGCACTATACACTAGGCCACTAGGGCTACAATGGTGCATGTCACGACCGAACTTAGGATTCATGACCTATTGAATTCAAACGGAGTGAGTGAATATTGTTAGCTGGGGTGAGTTGGAAATGTGTGCGGTTAAATAGTTGCAAACGGGGACGAAGGAAACTGTTCAGCACTCCATGGTCTTCAGCTTTTCTCTGACTAGAGTCATTTCGTAAGGAGGTCTAATTTTAAAACTGTTGTACCTACATAAGACTAACAGCAGCAAAAGTAGCTACTGCCACGCGATAACAAATAAGCGATTAATGGAAAAGACACGCTATCGAAAGAAAATCCTGACTACAACATCTGTCATTTATAAGCTCTTTCATTTTATAACTAGAAGATATACAGGAAGACTAAGTATTACTGTAAAGCGCCATAGATACAACCAGCGACATGGATGAAGATGTCGAAGCCAGCCAGGCATTCATAGCTCTGAAATCTGTTGTAAAGGTTTATCAACATTTAGCATTACGAAAAAGACTGTTATGCGTAAAGTCAACCTCAGTTTATTGAGTCCATATGGTTCAGACACCTAGCAAAATCGTCACAAAATATAATCCCAACGGGTTGCTGCAGAATTTTGCACGGTGCTGAAGATTAGATGACTTACCAAATAGAGTCATCAAGTAAGAACGGAGTCTGGTAGTCACCGGATCAGTAAACAACCTATTTCCAAAGAAATATTTGGAAGGAAGTGAAGAGCGATAGACTAAATATAGGATGACCAGATGGTTGAGTTATATGACATATCAGTTTGGCCCTCAAGCGAAATTTAAAATGACAAATTAGTGGGTATCCAATGGTAGCATGTTGGAGATCATGTGAAAAGGAAATAGAAGATTCTGAGTAGTCATGAAGCCAGCTGAAAGTTATGGCAGAAAATAGAATGAAATAGTGATGTGCTTTCGAACACCACTGTTTCACAGGGGACCCAAGGAATGAACAGTAAGAGTGATAAATACACAGAACAGATGTCCTAAAAGAATTAATCATGAATATTGACAAAAGCGGACTGAGAGTAGTAAATATCCAAGCATTAGAAAAGAAACTGCATTCAAAAGAAACACAATATCTGTAATAATTTATGTCGGGTTTAAATATGCGTTAAATACAGTGATTCTCTACAATCTAACTCACTTTGACATGTAACACAGTATGTAAGACTGGGGAGGTCAAAGTGTATGGACATATTATTTATTTATTATTTTATTTCCTTACGTTCCTAGTGGAACATAGGGCTTCAAGCTAGAGCTTTGAAGTTTCGGTAGCAGTGGTGCTTATTTTTACGGGGTCGGGTTGCTAGCCTCATGCCCAGCCTTCCGTCTTTACCGGTCTTATTACCGGCTTAATGCGTTCATGCCACCATATTCACTAATTTAAATCTTGAGCCCTTGTTTTAGACTTCATGAATTTATGGTTATTTAACTGTGGCTTTAATGTTCAAAGTTATTTTACTCTTAAGATCATTGTCGAACAGATATAAACGTTGCAGCAATGGAGGAGATTCAGGAATTCTGTAAGGATAATATATGCATACTCCACGGTGATCCTAACTGTAATTAGCTGATCCCAGGCGATTTTCTAATGACTGGGTTCACTCAGTTCAGTTGTTGATCTGATATTTGACTTTGCCGTTTTGGGGATAAGTGTTTATTGATTATCTGTTAGCTGCAAATTTACTGGAGAACGAGGACTGAGAGAATTCTCTGAGAATTTTTGCGTTTTCTCTGTCTAAAATTTATAAATTATCCCAGTTGAATTAATGTTAGCAGTTGTCTAAGTGAATTTTTACAAACAAAAGTAAACCATTTATTTGCCCGTTAACTTGTGTTAATGGATGAGAAGATGGCCAATTAATAGCACCTTTTTTGTAGGTAAAGTAAGGAATTTCTGATAATAACCAATCACAATGATGGTTATGAGAAAACAGAGATATGGCAGTAATGTGTAGTCAGTCAGTGCTTCTATATGGTTAAGAGACTTGGTGCACGCATCACGAAAAGCACTTACAACACGCTGCTGTAAACTTTCACCAACAGCTGCCTTCATTGGCCCTATACTGAAGATCAGACAGACGGCCGGAAAGAGTAAGCGACCAGGAGTTCCTGTGACAAACCAACCAATAACCTATTGCATAACATATATGTAGATCGAAATAGAGGGGGACTGGATGCAGGCAGAGGTGACCACTGAGTGACACAACCCGAATGGAAAACGATGAGTGGGACGTCTGAGAGGCGCATGGAGGAAATGGTGTGAGGAGGAAGTGAAAGTTTATGAGCAAACGTGGAGCACCTTGGAAAAGACTGTAGGGCACAGAGTTGAATAGCGACATGTTGCTGATGCTATATGTTCCACTTGAAAGCTAAGCGAACAATAATAAGTAAACCTTCTAGCTTAGAGGATAGAACAATAGGGAAATCTCTTAAAGCTACAATAATTCGAAGCTGTCTACAGATAGTATGCAGTCAGTTTATACACCTTCCAAAATTATGTATTTTTGTAAGTATTAAATAGTCTTATAGTAAAATTTAGAAAAAGATATTTAAGCCAACAGCATTGTTTTCAGTTAGATCTCATTAGACCTAAGTATTATACACAAAACTTTACAAATAAATGCTAGAATACAAACCAATCACTGTGATTTGCCAACATAAGGATAAGATTGTGCATATTCAATATTAATAATAATGCTAATAACAATTATGGTTCTATCAACAACAAAGGTGAGAAGCTGCAGCGACCTATGATGACAAGAATAATGGAAAACGGCGTAATCAAACAAACAAACGTCCAGGTAGAAGTAGTCGATAATGGCTAAGAAAAACAAATAGTCCCATTAAGTATCGCTGGATTGTTAGGAAGCTAAATAAACTATGTTTTAATAAAAGCGTAATAAGATTAAGGGATGATAAGAGAAGGGTTGAAAATTTTATGTATAAGGGGTGGTGATGATATCGTCAGTTGGTAGACTCTTAACTCGCAAGGGGAGGCAGGCATATTGGATGTAGGCAAAGTTTAGTCTTATTAGTTCGAATACCAATCACCTCAGCTATGTGCAGCAGACGAATGCGAAGTCCATTGGAAGAATCCAATGGAATGCGGTGAATCACCTTTAGTGCTTTTTTTCCTGCCACAAAATCACCACTATCAACTAAATGTGACAAAACGGAGCAACAGATGGTTTTTGTCTGTTCTCTACCAAAACCACCATGGTAGATATTCAAGTAACACGTTGCCCTACTTCTCCACTAGTACACCTAACATAATTCTGTTGCTACTAACCACCAAAGAAGTACCTTTAAGTTCTTAATCTTGACAGTACAGAGATATCTGTTCAAAGAGGACCATATAGCAAATCGAAGTTAGTCTATTCGGTCAGATATACTAATGGGAAATCATAAACCTGAGTATAAACGTTCAGACTAAAACCAATGAACAATATGTGGCTTTTGTGGACCACCGGCCTAGTGGATAACGCTTTGATAGTTGCAGCAATGTTTACTAGTTTCAAGTCTTCAGTAGGGATCGTGCACAGTCAAATGACGAGTCCTAAAAAGGACGAAACGCGCCTTCTAGATTCTACTGCCAGCCACCTCTAAACAAGTAACTAGGAGTTCTTAATCCTGGTAATCTAGACATATACTTTCGAAGGGGTCATTTACCAAAATGGAGCTGATCAGTTCCATTTAGATATTATTATAGTATCCTTCAATTCCTACAGGAACATAGGGCTTCAGCCGTGCGTCTCCATTGCGTTCGGTTCTCTGCTAGAGTTTTCACCTGGCTCCATGTCTGCCCACACGTTTTCATCTCCTCTTCACATCACCTCCTCCAAGTCACCCTCACCCTAGCACTGACGACCAACTCGCCGCTTCCCTTTCGGGTTCCACTCGAGCAATGGCTTGTCTAGTGATGTCACTTGATGGATTGTTTCCTCAGAGTATGGCCAGCCAATCCATCTCCGTTTCTTCCTGCCTATTTGTTTCACAATCGGTTCCTGCTGTGTTGGTTCGCTCATTGCCAGAGATCTCTGTTGCTGATCTTTTGTGGCCGGCCATCTGATCTTGAGCGAAGTATTGAGCGAAGACAACTGTTAATGAAGGTCTGTAGTTTGCTTGAGATGCTCTTTATGACGCGCTGGCCAAGTCTCTGATCCGTATAGTAGCACTGACTTCACATTGGAGTTGAAAATCCAGATCTTATTTTTGATGCTGAGTGCTGTTGACCTCCACACAGACTTGAGAGTAGTGAAAGCTTGTCTTGCTTTTCCGATTCTTGCTTTGATCATTTAGATATGCATCATTTGAAAATGACAAATGACATTATCTTAAACAAATCATCTGATGAAAGATTCAAGCAAATTTAAGTGCATTTCATTAGACAAATATTCTAACAAGCAGTAACACACATACACGCATTACTTTTTAATTTTTAACATATTACAGAAACCAATTAGTCCATTTCAGTTATTTAACTTACTTTTTCAAACAATTCTGATGATGTACGACTTTTCGATGGATGTCGGGCCTTTTCATCAATCTTTTGATAACTGTAAGGAATGAAGAATCGACAAGGGAAATTGAAAGAAAGATAGTCTCAAGCCAGCGTTTGTAGACAGTGTTTAAATTTCACAAGAATTGTTGTGACAATCTACATGTTCAACATATTTAAACAATAATAACAGTGTGTAAATATACCCCTAGATTACAAATAGGAAGTGAAGTGGTAGAGCACGTTGACCGCTTCACTTACTTGGGAAGTACCATCAGCCGGTGCCAACAGGTTGATCTCTGACGAAATCTCAGCACAAATACGCCATCTCTGGCGTACACGTGATATCTGACTATCGACCAAAGGGCGTGTGTACTGCTCATCAGTCCGCTCCGTCCTCCTTTATGGCTGTGAGACCTGGCCATTGAGAGTGGAAAAGATGCGAAAACGCTAGCTGTCTCCGATCATAGGTGCCTGCGTTCTATCTCCTGTGTGAAGTGGTATAATAAGGTGAGCAATATTGAGGTTAGGCATTGGTCGAGTGCTATGTAAGGCGGGGAAATCAGTCGACGGGACTGTGAAATGACATCGACTGAAATGGTTAGGACATGTGTTACGTATGCCTAGTCATCGCCTTCCTCGACAATGGGCAGTGTTAGCTGATATAGGGTCAGGCTAGAAAAGAGCTAGCGGTGGTCAAACCAAAACATGGCACCAGACAATGAAATCTACAACAGTTAGTTGAAGCCACGTAGGAAGATGTAGACTTCCTGGTTGGGGTCCTCGGGACGGTAAAAACCATTGGTTGGAAACAATTGGTGACATGGCTCAAAATCGTTCTCAATGGCTGGCGCAGATGCATCCACTCCTTGTGACTCATGATTTCCGATGAAACTGTTTTGTTCTTCGTTATTACTATTCCTTTGTCTCACACCTCTGTTTACTGACTATATTATGCATTTCTCCTACTTTCTTCTGTTGCTTCGTGTGCTACATGGAGTGTGGCGACTTGAACTGCCGCACATATGTGCAAAGTTCTATGTCGAAAACCGACCGACCGAACGAAACATACAAATAAATTATAAATTAATGAGAACACTGATAACAATACATTGATGCTAAAGCTAGTGAGCCATATTCGAATAGAACTTGGACACTGTGGTAGAGTATAAATTCAGTAATATTTACTGTATGACACTGTGAGACACTTTACCAAAATAAAACTTTCTCAATAATGGAAACTAGTGAGTAATATTGTACCTAATACTTGTTTCTTCACATAAAATGTATCCCAAATAAAGTGTCTTTAGATATTATATTCAGTCGTGTGAAAGAGGAAAATCTTTTCAAATTGCTTTTTTCCAGCCTTATTAACATTACAAGACAAGCTGTCAATCAAGAGCGTGCTCAAAGTTCGACGAAATCGTCTTTGTCAATTTCTTATACGCATGGAAGTGTCTATCGACAATAAGATTAACGAGTTGCCTTAGAGGTACACTACTCACCCTACTGAGAGCTTTTAGCGTCTTTTATAAGAATGAGGGGGAAGAATAGGCAGAATGCAACAGTGAACAAATTGTAAATATGGAAGCTGAATTTTATGAGATTGTCCCAAAGCCTTTGGTTATTTGACTGCAAGGCAATATGGTGTTTAGGTTTGTTCTTGGCATTACTGCTCTGCCCCAAGTCCAGCAATGGATACGGCATACCGTTCTGACTCAAAAAGGGTGAAAGGCACATGGGGTAGAGACCAAACATCACAATACATGTGTAAAACTTGGGCACTGTGGTAGTAAGTAATTCCATATTAGTTTGTTTATTAGATGTATCACACAGTGAAACAGTATTATTTAATGGATGACGTTTCGAACAAAATTTATTGTTCATAATCATCATCAATTATAATCACACGACTTCGAAACTTAAGTTTTATAGTTTTCTTTGTCTTCTCCTATTTGTTGTCGTTGCGGTAGTAGAATTTTCCAGATATCGGGGACAGGTGTTGAATCATTCCTATTACATGTATTTGCAGTTGATTCGATAAACAAAGCTTCCGTTATCAATCTCTCCCTCCACCCCTGACATTAGATTTTAAAACTGTCATCTTATCGCGTTATCCTATTGTGTGGTTGGTGTAACTGCATGTAGTGCTACTTCAACCTATGTATTCGACCTCACAATCATTTCAGACAGGGTATTAGATAAACTAAATTGTTTTGTTTTAAAGGCTCCACAGGATACTTTAACAGACTAAGCTTGTTTCTAATTGACTTTGTGGGTTTGAATGCCATTTTTATTCCTGCCTTGTTAAGAATTCTGCGTAAGGTTTCCGAGGTTCCTTCCTTGTATGGAATTACTACTGATGATTTAGATTCCTTATTGTTGGTGTTTTTTGCGCACATTTGACTTGCATGTCGTTATTATTATTATTATCACTGTCACTACTATCATTATTTATTTTATTTTTACATTTCCCTACATATTTCCTGACTAATTTATCAGGGTAATTATTAAGTTTCAAAGCTTCTCTTATATGTATCACTTCCTGTCTTAGATTTTCCTTGGTACTACTTAGTTTTTGTGCTCTGTCACTTAAACATTTCACCAATCTTATTTTTACTGACGTAGGATGGGATGATCGGAAGTCCAAATATCTGTTTGAATGTGAGGGTTTCCTGTAAACACTAGTGTTTAACTTCCCATCTCTTTTTTTTACGCTACAATCTAACATTAGAAGCTCCCCTTCCTGACTTTCCAATTCATAAGTGAATTGAATTGCCTCCACCTTTGAGTTAATGTGTTCGAAAAATCTATCTATATCTTGTGCTCTAAGTACAGTGAATATGTCATCTACATACCTCCACCATACCTTTGGGGTGGGGGTGAACGTTTCAATCGCTATGTTTTCCCACCTATCCATGAATATATTTGCTACAACCGGGGATATTGGTGATCCCTTTGCAACTCCCTCAGTTTGTTTGTATATTTTCCCTTGGAATTTAAATACTGTGGAAGTCAGACACAGCTGCACCCCCAGCAATATGTCCTCAAGTGGCACTTTCGTCCTAAGTTCGAGTTCTTGGTCAGAAATGAGTTCGTTTCTGACTGCCTCTATAGCCATATTTTTTTGGTATACGTGTATGTAAACTGACAATGTCAAAACTAATCATTTTCTCTTCATTATCTAATTTTAAATTATCTAATCTATGTTTTAGTTCATAAGAATTTGTTAGTCTAGATTTCGAGTGGCTTTTAAGGGGATTTAATACCATGGCTAAATATTTAGATAATTCATGAATTTATAAAGGGTAATACTTTCGTTCTGACAAGTAAGAATGCAGCTAGAATTCTCTAAAATGATTGCATTTTACCTGTGAACCTATTAACAAACATGATTCTGTGGAAAACAAACGTTGAATAACCAAAGAGGTTTAATCCTATATCATATACCTAGTTTGTCGTCATCTTTGACTATGGTTTGCTAAGTATTGGTGAGTCTTCATTATTTCACATTTTAGTCACCCATTCATAACTTTCTTCTCTTATCATACTTTACACATTGTCTTGCTTGACAACAATACCACTGTCTCAGAATTTAAGCTTTGTCTTCCTCGCATCTATAAAATCAGACGTCAAATCCAAGCAAGTTATATCCGCGTATATTAACACTTTCCACATTTATTCATTTGTACCTACTAGATGTTGAAATTCAGGAAGAATATCTCTGAGACATTTCTTTTATTGCTTTCAGTTCCCAGAGAAAAACAGAGCTTCAAGGTTTTTGAAGTTTCAGTTACACTGGTGTTGTTCTAACGGGACGGGGTTCCTGGCCTCAGTTACATCTCTACTCTTTTCCATGCTTACTATCACCTTGTTAACTAAGCGGTTTAAGAATGCATTTGCCAGGAATCGAAATCAAGCCACGAGCGTTGTTGGCAAGCACTCTACTATTTAGCCACCAGTGCATTCATCTAAGCATGAATACAGATTAACTCAGGATGCAGACTTCGCAAATGGTATGAGTTTCACCCGGAAGTACCATCAGCCCCAACGGGTTGATCTCCGACGAAATCTCAGCACGAATACAGAGGGCTAGGTTCGCATCTGCCAGTTTACGCCGTCTCTGGCGTAGACGTGACATCCGACTATCGACCAAAGGGCGTGTGTACTGCTCAACAGTCCGCTCCGTCCTCCTTTATGGCTGTGAGACATGGCCATTGAGAGCAGAAGACATGAAAAGATTAGCTGTCTTCGATCATAGCTGTCTGCGTTCTATCTCCCGCGTGAAGTGGTGGTATAATAAGGTGAGCAATACTGAGGTTAGGCGTCGAGTGCTAGGTAAGGCGGGGAAATCAGTTAACGAGACTGTGAAATTACATAGACTGAGATGGTTAGGACATGTGCTACGTATGCCTAGTCATCGCCTTCCTCGACAATGGGTAATGTTAGCTGATATAGGGCCAGGCTGGAAAAGAGCTAGTGGCGGTCAAACGAAAACATGGCACCAGTCAATGAAATCCACAACAGTTAGTCTAAGCCACGTAGGAAGGTGTAGACTGGCTTCCTGGTTGGGGTTTTCGGGACGGTAAAAACCAATGGTTGGAAACAATTGGTGACATGGCTCAAAACCGTTCCCAATGGCGCAGATGCATCCAGTCCTTGCGACTTATGATTTCCAATGAAACTGTTTTGTTCTTCGTTATTACTATTCCTTTGTCTCACATCTGTGTTTACTGTCTATATTATACATTTCTCCTACTTTCTTCTCTTGCTTTGTGTGCTACAAAGAGGGAGTGTGGCGACTTGAACTGCCGCACATATGTGCAAAGTTCTATGTCGAAAACCGATTGACCGACCGGACTGCTTACCAGAATTACTCCTGGTTAGTTATTATTACCCAGCGATAGATCTAGCGCAATGTAGCGTCACTTTTACTTAATTCAGTGACTGAATTATAAACATGACTGATAAGCTTCAGTCAGAATTTAAAACTTTACACCAACAATGATTACTATTCAGCAACCTATTATTTATAGATGTGGGTTTCTCACACCTTTA